GCCGCGTCCGCCCGCTTCACTGGGACACAGCCACGCCCGTTTACTCCTGTCTGTCCGTAGCTGTTTGTCACCCCAGGGGCCACGTCGAGCAGTTACAGTGACACCCCAGGGGCCACAAAGGCGAATGTATTTAGAGTCTAGTTGTCTTCTGAAAGGCCTGCCAAACCCAGTTTCAGCAGAAGCGATAAGCCGCGGGCCAGCGGGACACGTGTGCTTAACAGTCGTTTATAAGAGCCCTTGAGCGATGCCCGGCTCCGGGCCGAGGCCAGGCGCTCGTTCTGGCCCCCGGCTCGCCCCCGAATACGTCCGCCTCGTAGGGTTGAGGGAGGGGACAGACAGGGACGGGCCAGCCCCTTGCGTGCCGCGGGCCCGCGGGGAAGCGGATCTCGGGGTGATTGAGGCGCGGCACGCGGCTCTGCTCTCTGTCTCCTCAGTCAACGACACCCGCGAGGTTGGCGAGCTAAGCGAGGTCAACATCACCACCCCGTCCAAGTCCAGCTGGCACCTGTCGAACCTCAGCGCCACCACCAAGTACAAGTTCTACGTGAGGGCGTGCACGTCGCAGGGCTGCGGGAAGCCCGTCTCCGAGGAGGGCGCCACCCTGGGAGAGGGCGGTAAGCACGGCGCCGAGGCCCACCGTCTGCTGCGTTTAGCGAGGGCGGCGGAAGGAGGGGTCTGGTCGCTGTACGTTAGGGGTCCTGTGGCCTCGGTCTGTCCGCCGTTTGTTTTCCGCTGACTTAGACCCGAGCATTTTCGTCTGTGAGTGAAGTTCCCCTGGATCCGTGTCTGTATTTCCACACGGCAGCCATCCTCCCACACCTGGGTGTGTGGGTCAGGAACAATCCTTTTACTGAATTAGAATAGGGGTCCCGAGGGCACAAAGTTATGATAAGGTTAGTAGGAGGATGTTTTTGTTTCGGAAATGTTTCCACACAAAAAATATCATCTCTTGCCCTGGACAGTGCGCAGCTCCGATGAACGCGTTTCCCCCCGCGCCGGGGCTCGTGCTCGCTGATCCTGCGCCAGTTTTATTCACTGCCCAACGGTTGGTGCCAAATATCTGACCTGAAATGGCCAATAAATCTGGTTTCATTTGCACCATTTTACTAATTAAAAAAAAATATATATATTTTCATCGATTTCAGAGAGAGGAAGGGAGAGGGAGAGAGAGAAACATCGATGATGAGAGAGCCACTGACCAGCCACNGGCCGCCTCCTGCGCGGCCCCCACTGGGGGGGATCGAGCCCGAAACCGGGCACGTGCCCCGACGGGAATTGAACCGCACGGCCGGGAAGTAGAGCGTCGCTTAGTCACGGACCACGCGTCAGACGCTTTACGGGGGCTTCCTCCAATGTTAGAGGAGAGAAAGGGTAGAACCGATGAAAGAAAAGAGGAATTAGTGCCGAGGAGATGAAATCGTCGGTTATTTATGAAAGACTCACGTTGAAGTACGTTCAGGGTTGAGTCACTAAGGCCGGGGTGTGAGCTCGTGTGGCTGTGCCCGGACCTTTACGTTCAGCTAGATTCTTCCCCTTATGGGTCCTTCTGTGTCTAAATAATAAAAGACCGACGTTTTCCTCGGACTCCCTCAGTGTTCAGGACCCCCTGTTACGGGGAAAGCACATGTGTCCGGACGTTTCTCCCAGGAAACCCACCGTCAGTCGCCAGGCGACACGCCGAACCCATCTACCCGCTCACGGGGTGAGGCTCAAAGATGAAAACGGTCTGGTCACTCGAGGGTCTTATTTCCCATCAAGTGTCCAATAGAAAGGAGCAAAGTCAGAGCAGCCGAGGCCCGAGTGTCACCGTCGGCGGCAGGGGGCTGCTGTTTCCACGGTGCCGGGACCGCCGCCTGCGTGAGAGAAGCTGGTCGCGCCCTCGCCAGCCTGCGTCCCATGGGCACTGCGCTCCTCAGAGCGGCCGCGCTGGGGTGCCCTCCCCTCAGCATGGGGGTGTTTGGAAAATTTGGACCCAGTTACACTCACGCTGGACAAATTGTCTTCAGGCCGGCGATTTTCAGCCAGCGTATCGTAAGACTATTTAACACTTGCGACCCATGACTATTTTCCCTTAGATTGTCAAAAAATGACAGCAGCCCACCCGACAACAGCCGTCCAGTGTGAATGAATCAAAATTACGCCTACGTGTTTGTCAGGTTGGCAAAATAGATATATTTTTTTGGTGTGCCGCAGGATTGTAGTAATTAGTTTACGTGCCATGAGATGAAAAGGTTGCCCACCGCTGTTTGAGAGGAGGGGAGACGTGTCTGTGATTTTATAAACGAAGCTGCAGCTCGGAGAGGGAGCTGTTGCCCGAGTGCCTCACGCTCGCTGTCCCAGGCGACGGGCTTGAGGACCTTCTCGCGGGCGTGTCTGTGGTCTTTTCCAGGGACCTGCGCTTTCATGTCCCAGCAGCTGCCCCTTCCCCAGCCCCCACTGATTTCTCCTCTGCAGGCTTGTCCGCTGCGTTGCAGGAGAGAAACCAAACCTTCCTAGTGGATTTCAGCACGATCTTTGGGAAAAACGCCCCATACGCTTCCACAGAGGAGATGCATCTTGATATCACTAAACCCTCCCAAAGTGATGACTTTTGTGCAAACTGGGAGCTAGTCTTGGGATCATTCTTCCTGCTCAGCCCGGCCAGGGCCCCGGGCGTTTATTCCGAGAGTAGGGTGGGACGTGCGGCCTTGGTTCTCCTGATTCCTGCTCGTCCCAGTTCACGCTCCGTAACCTAAGAGGGAAGAGACAGAGTCAGTCAGAAATAGTCTTCTGTGTGTCTCTTACTGGTTTGGGCAGAACACCTGCTTTCCTCTGTTTTTCAAAAGCTTGTGCTACCTAATGTTATATTAATACTTCTGTTTTTCACAGTCGGAATTAACGGCATTCTGTCTCAGCGGCGCTCAATCTTCATGGCTTTGCTCAGCTAACGTAACCGGTCTCCTCCCTTCCAAGGAGCCCTTTGTAACAAAACCCTTTCATTATCAGAAACTATACAATCAGTTTCCCATCTACGGAAAAATTGTAACTAAAGTTGAACAGGTAACATAGTGTCCCATTGAGAACAGAGTTTCAGAGCCCCTAATATTCTCAACGTATGGAATATACTTTATTTCATTATAAATTGTTAACATTTTTCTGGAGCTGATTTTTAGCAAAATATTTAAGAACGTATTTTAGATATTTTGTTGCAAGACCAGAAATTTAATGTATCCCTTAGTTACGCTTGACTCATATTTTTATCTGCAACTATGAGTTTTTACAATGAATCGATTGGCATAGTCATGTTTTTTTTGAAAAGCGTCAGTTTCTCAGAACATGCCCAAGTCTCAGTGCATTTCAATTAAATGCGCCTAGAAACCTGCACTTTGTGCAGTTTAAGTTCCTACAAATTTCCCACGTACAGTATATGACCACATCCTGACACTACTCCGTCAGTATTTATGGAGCAGAGCAAGGGGAAAGGCGTAACGTGCAGCTGAGATGTCCCTGCTCCAATTATAAGCCTCAAGGGCCACAGTCAGCCTCCCGCTCAGTTTGTAAAAGTTCAAATGCCACAAAACGACAACCAATCATTTTTCGAAAGTCCGTGTTTGGTTTTGAACCACGCACCTGACCAGGCAGATTTATGTGCCGTTTCGTCAGCATGTCCGTCGTCCCACCGGGACGTGAATTAAGCTCACCGCATTTAGTATAGTAAAAAAGGAAACCTGAGATGTCGGTTGTATTGATCTGATAATTCAAGAACTATCTAAGGGGGAAAAACGCTACAAGCAGCTCCCTTACTCGTCTCCAATAACAACGTCTATGTTTTCCCACCTTTTATGTCCTGCTTTTCGATGATTACAGTGTATGTGCTTTGCCTGTGTACATTTCTTAGGTAAAGGGACCGGGAAGCTCTCAGAAGGAGTCAATGTTACTGAAAAGGTTCACCCGCTAGAGGTACTCGAGCCCGGCGCCGAGCATGTAGTCCGCCTACTGACTAAGAACTGGGTTGGTAACAATAGCATTTTTGAAGATGTGATTGAGGCGAGAGGGAGAGGTGAGACATGGGATGGTTCGGGGCAGCCTCAGACAGTGCGTCCTGTCCTGTAGACCGTTTAATTGTCCCCCTCCCTGCGCTGAAGGTGGATGTGCAGTGCGTTAGCCATAAAGTTTCCATTTGTGTCCGCGCAGAGCTTCAAACTATCCAAGTGAGGAGCCTCCACAGAGGTCCCACTGCCCCTGTCGCCTTTCCCCGGATAGTTGCCTAAAAGTATCTCCTGCTTATTAACACAAACTAAATAACAAAACTAAATAGAAAAACTATTTAATAACAAAACTGTAAAGAAAAAACAAACTAGGGCCCGGAACCGCCGCGGCGACCTGCAGTCACCCAGGGGGCTTCTGCTTGCGCTTCCTCTGCTGCCTCTCGCCTTGGCCCCCGCCCTGGCCCCTGCCCTGTCCCCTCTGCCTTCCGTCCTCAACTCAGACACGGCCAGAGAGGGGCCTTCCTCCATCCACACTGAGCCGTTTGCCAGTGTTCGCCCAGGGACATGTCCTCCAAGCCACATTCCCTCCGGGGTCACCGGCAGGAAGAACAAAACTGACGCTATTTTGTGTGTTTAAAAATGATGTTTAACTTTCCCCGGTGACTCCCTAGTCCTCAGTGTGTGACTTCTCTGTGCAACAGAATACGCCGGCTTGTACGAGGACATCGCCACCCAGGGCTGGTTCATCGGGCTGATGGGCGCCATCGCGGTCCTCACGCTTGTCCTGCTGACCGTCTGCTTTGTGAAGAGGAACAGGGGCGGGAAGTACTCAGGTAGAGGCTCCACTTTCTCTTAAGTTTATCGGGGCAACGCTACGCGTGGAAACAGCCCGAGCTCCCTTAGATGGGTGAGTGGCTGAAGGAGACGTGGCACCTCTGTGGGACAGAATACTACGCAGCCGCAAAAAAGGTGGGGTCCTGCAGTGTGTGACAACAGGGTCAATCTCGAGAGTGTCGTGCTAAGAGAAGTAAGTGGGAAAGGGGCAAGAGCCGTATGACTTCCCTGGTAGGTGGGACATAAGATAAAAAGCCACAAATGAACAGGTAACATTGTTTCCAAGATGACTTTCAATTGAGTAGATGCTCTCCTGGAGACACTCTTCAGGGAGGCCTCTTATTCTTTTAATGACACACTTGAGTCAAGTTTGTATCAGCGCGTTAGATACACATGTAGCGAGAGGAGAAACTGTTCCTTAGTAAGTAACCAAGGGGAGTATTGTCTCCAGGTGGGTACTGATTTCTAGTTTCTCGTACTTTACGTGGACTCTAAGGAGACTCACAGAATCCCCAGCTCCTTTTTGTTATTTTTAAAATACCAGAGGTGTTGAGAAGACTTGTTACCAAGTGCACTTAGTCATCTGGCCTTCGCTCAGAGGCCGCAGCTAAGCCTCGTAACCCACAGAAAACTGAGCAAGTACATGAAAATCTGCAACGTGCTGGGACTTGGGTGACAAAGGGGGAGAACCCAGGAAACCCCTCATTTTCCGTATGAGGTGACTGACTGTGGCAGATTCAGCCACAGAAACACGGGACTCAGTAGCCGCGGGAGGTGTGAGCACTGCGCGGTTCCCGATCGCCTGCCGCCCAGCAGCACCGCAGGCGTCTTCCAGCTCGTTTGCATTTTTGTTTCTCTCTCTTTTCTTCAGTGAAAGACAAGGAAGACCTGCACCCGGACCCGGAAGTTCAGTCGGGGAAAGATGAGACCTTTGGGGACTACAGGTAAGCGCAGCGTCACCTAAAACGGACCCAGGCACGTGTGCTGGAGGCCGGGTCGCAGCCCCGAGTGTGGTTTCCTCGCCACCCCCCCGGCCCCGAACCAGTGTAGTCTGCGGGTTTCTGGTGGTGGTGTCCCTGAGGAGTCCCAGCCCCGAGCCAGTGCCCGCATCGGTCAGGACAGCTGAGTTGGGCTTCTGCCGAGTTATGTGTCCAGCACTCGCTACTGTGGGGATGTCGGTGCTGGAGGTGACCGGCCGGGAGGTGACCGTGCAGACCACCACAGCACCCAGCCCAACGTGAGCCCTAAGCGCTGGCTCGCACGTGACACACATCACCCCTGCTGGCTCTTGGTGGCAGCGAGTCCCTGGTGATGGGGGAAGGGCAGTGCCCTTGGCCAGGCCCTCAGCGCTGAGAGTGGGGCCTGCGGCCCCGCAGCCCCAATGGCCACATGTTACCATGTGTTACCTACATTCTACTTACATTTCCCCAAATTCTTCCTTTTTCAAATTTTATCAAACCACTCAATTTGCTACACAGCTTTACAGTGTGATAGCCAGTAGTACTTAAAAAGAATCCCGATCAGAAATTTAGAAAACCGTACAGTGTTACAGATTTTTTACTAACTCAGAGTTGCTTTTTTTGAAAACTAAAACCCAAACCATACGTATAGGGTGCTTGTAGATTTGTGTTCTAAAAATGCCAGCTATTTGTAAAATTTAGCAAACCTGAGTTTATAAACTCTATTAAAGGAACTTCTTTGGTTACAAGAAACAGAACTTGATTAATTTAAACAAAAGCGTGATTTTCGGAAGGATGTGGGGGCAAGTCCTAGAACAGAGGTGAAGACTCGGGGACCCCAGGTTTCAAAGTTGGTGAAAGCTGAGGGGACAGCGTCTGTCTCTGTGTCAGCAAGTGGAACCTCGCGTCCCACGGAGCTCCCAGTTATATTTTATCATTTTTGTTGTTGTTAATCCACAGCTCCCAGTTTTAAGGGGCGGCAGAAGTGCTGTGAATGGTGGAACACAGTTCTCAGCTGCTCCGAATGGCACGGAGGGGTTGTCACTTTTGAAACCTGTGCCTGTCACTTAGGATGTGTCATCCCTCCTGGGTGGTCGCAGGAGTGTCCTGACCACTGTGAGACTCCCGCTTGAACCTTGCTTTGCGTGAACAGCTCAGCTCAGACTTTGCTGAACTGTATTCCGTGTCGTTTTCCAGTGACAGTGACGAGAAGCCCCTGAAAGGAAGCCTCCGGTCCCTCACGCGGGACCTGCCGGCCACAGAGAGCGCCGACAGCTTGGTCCAGTACGGGGACGGCGACCACGGCCTGTTCAGCGAGGACGGGTCCTTCATCGGGGCCTACGCCGGGGCCAAGGAGAAGGGGTCCGTGGAGAGCACCGGCAGCTCCACGGCCACGTTCCCGCTGCGGGCGTGACCGCCACGTGTGGGCGCCCCCGTTCCCGCCAGCTCCGCATCTGTGCGCTCGAGGGGGCCGGGCCGCGCACCTGGGACCAAGCCCGCTGCCGGAGGCGCCACCCAGCCCCGACCTCCCGCCGTCACACGGAGTGAACAGCAAGCAGCACTGCCGAGAAAGACCGAGTGCCTGCCGCGGCGGCCGGGGTCTGTCTTTCTTTGTTTTCTTTACAGGTGCTGAAAATGCAGACGAAGCAAATCCTGTGTTTAGATTCATCTCCACCGAATCCAAAGTGACCATCAGTGTGCTCCGTACCGGCCCGGTCGCAGTGGCCACTGTGCGGGGGCCTCGTTCCCACGGGCGCGGCGACCTCGCGGGGTCCGTTCCCACGGGCGCGGCGACCTCGCGGGGTCTCAGCAGCGCGTGCTCCTCTCCGAACTGAGCGACCGCTTCCCTGCAGGTTGGAAGGTGGTAGGCGGCGAGCACACAGGTTATTTAAGTGTAAAGAGGAAAGTGAATGTCTTATTAAAATCATCCGTGGACTGTACGCTGTCAACATTTATTATTTAAATTTTAGTAGAAGTCCTGTGTAGACGGCCAGCTGGTATTTATTGAGCTCTCACTATTTGCCCCAGACGGCCCTGTTGAGGCGGGGGCCTCGCTCTCGCGGCCGCAGCGAGAAGGGTCTGTGTCTCTCGGCGGTGCTATCGGCACACAGCCTGCTGGGATTTTCCTGGACTGAGCTCTGCCCGTGGTCACCTTGGGAAGGAGCAGGCGTGGGTCTCACCTGTGTCTACGCCGTGTCCCCGTGTCCCCCTTGACGGCGCTCACCTTTCTCCGTTTCCGTGACTGTATGTGCAGCTGTTTCGTGACTGCATTGCACGTGCTCGGTCAGCATCCGCCCGGTTTGGGGGGGGACGGTCGCATGCGGAGGCGAGAGCGGGAGCGTGGCCAGGCCGCCCGAGGACAGGAGGCGGGAAGCCGCCCGTTCCCACCGTCCCAGAGCCACGGGGGCTGCCGGCGGAGGACGCTGTGCCGGGCACCTGGGTTCTGTTCTTCTGTTGCTTTTCCCAACAGTCTTCAAATAAAAGGTCCTATAAGTATAGAGGGGAATGTGTTCATAGTTTTGAAAATAAGGCTTGTTGTTGAGTGTGCTCCCGCCCGAGCCCCCGGAAGAGACGCTGTTCACGGCAGAAACCCCTGCGCCTGCCTCTGCCTCCGTCACGTTTTAAATGTTTTCAGGCGGGATGTCGGTCTGTCGGTCTGTGTTCTGGCGACACCAGCTGGATTCAGGGGGTTCGCTTCCCGCATGCGGGCTGCTTGTCCTTCTCCGGTGTCCCTGAGAATGGGTTGAAAGGGCATGAAGGTCCTGCCTGCATGTCCGTGACCCTCGGTGTTCAGCTCCTCAGTGCTTGGAGGCATTTCTTCACCTCGCCCCAAACCCTGGATCTTGCTTAAGTGAAACTGTTCCGCGGGTTTTGCCTTTGTTTTGGAACTGCAGCTGGGAGCGCGCCTGTTAAATCCCGGACTCTGGTTTCTGCGGCCCACGGTACTTCCTGAGGACCCAGATGAGGGGTGTGCGTAACGGTAAACGCGGTAACGCACCTGGATACCTAGCTGCGGGTTAGACCTGTGTGTTATCCAAAATGCAGGGCAGCAAAGGAATGTCTTATTCAAAACCGACTCGGGTTCGGACCTGACCACCCCCCGAGCGAGCGTTTCCAGCGGGAACCACGTCTGGGTCCTCGCCCTGTGACTGTGGGACCCGCACACCCGCGGGCGCGCCTTGGCTCCATCCATCTGACGTCTAAGGAACGGCGGTTCTGGAGGCGGAGCCGTCAGGAGCTGACTTCCCCGAGGGTGCTGACGAGGCCCCGTCGGCACGTTGGAGTTTGGTTCTGCGGTGACTTTAGCTCCTCCTGTTCTTTGTCGTCAGTCAGAAAGGTCTTAAGGGAAACTTGTAAATTAGAAACAATCTCAAAAAGGCACTGGGGGCAGAATTATGATACATTTAATGACCCGTTAGTTAGAAGTTAACTAAGTGATAAAATGTTTCCTTTCCCTGAAGCGCAGGGCTCCCTTACTGGCAGGTCACAGGGCGTCCCTGCTCCCACGTCCTGCGTGGCCCAAACTAAGGGACGTGAGACATGAGACTGCATCACGACCGCGTTCGCTGTCTCCCCTTACCTTGCGGTATGTTTGGCCGCTCCTCCTGGGAACCTCAGCACAGGAGGATCGGGTCCCTGCCTGACTTTCCCCAGCCCCTGTCGATGTTACTTTGATGTAATCGGTTGTGTGCGCTCTCGAGGACTGTTGGGGGGACGACTCCCCAGAGCCGCCCAGGGCTTGGGAAACCCCGAGTCCTCTCCTGGTCCCAGGGCTGACTTTGTACAGAAAACCCGACTTAGGCAAGTGGCTCGACCCCCTTTGCTTCAAATGGTCTCAACTATAAAGTGCTGACGATGGTCTCAGTTACCTTCTCTTTGTCACAGGGTGTTGTTTTTTATGAAGAAACATTTGAAAATAGTAAAAGCTAAGAGGCCTTTGAACTTGACAAACCAACCTTCCCTCGGATGATGTATTGAAACGTCACCCCACGCACACCAACACGGTTTTTTCCTGTGAGCACAAATATATTTTTATAGAAAAACAAATCTACAGGAAATACAATAAGTCCGCTGTTCCCCAGCAGCGTGAGTTACACGCCCTCAAACGCCGAGTCGGAAGGAAATGAAGCAGGGTCTTTGCTGCACAGAAGTGTTCTTCCTGGGCCTGCATGTGTATTTGTAAGAAGGTGTGAATTTGGTCGGTTTTTTCTCTTCATGTAAAGGCATCTGCTATTTTGGATGTACCCGTTTATAAAAATGTAAAGCACAATGGGATTGTGCTGGGAAGTCTCAAATGGTATTTTTTCCTATTTTATACTTGTGGGAGAGAGGAGCTGAAGAGAGGCCGATAGTGAGGAACATTGGTTTGCCTTTCTAAGCGTTGAAAACGTAACTGCCAATTGAAACCCTAAATATGTTTACATGCCATTAGGATACGGTTCCTGAAACCACGCTGAGTGGGTTCGAAAGGGGTTGGGCTTGTCCTCGGCAGTGGTGTAGACACCCCCGTGTCCCCATAGTGACATTCCCAGTGTTGAGCCAAAGCAGACCTCGCTTTGTGTCTTGAATTGTTTGATGACATCATCAAAAGAGATAAAAGGTATGTACAACTAGTTTACCCGCTTCCTTCCCTTTTTTTTCTTCACTTGGGTTGATACTCGTAGCAGAACTTTATTCCAGTGTATCGGTGTTGTAGGTGGTGTTTGTATTTTGCCTGTGAATCTGTACGGTTTAAAAATATTTTCATTATACATGAGTTTCAACTTTCCAAATAAAAGTCTGACTTCATGTGCTCCAAACACGTTTGTGTTCTTCTCTGTCCAGCCAGGAAGAGTCAGGATTTATGTCTCAGCCTTACCTCCAGCGGCCTGGGGCCCGGACTGTCGATAGGTGAAGGATAAGTCAGTGTGACTGAGGTATAAATGCAGTATTTTGATTTGAACGACTATACTTACAATAGACCATTTAAAATCAATAGCCACAAAAAGTAACCTGCCAATAAATTCTATACTGAAGGTTAATGTAAAATTAAGGTGAATGTATATTCATCTGGTTGTTTTTAAAACAATGCAAAAATGTCCAGCAGCTATACTTTCAAATAGGCTCGTGGGTAACAGACACCCAGGCTGGCTCAGCGGACACTCTATTGAAAACTGTGAATTTTAAAAGTGTCTTATGTGTACTAAGCACTTTACACATGTTACAGCGTTTAACGTCTGAAACCTTCTTGTTTGGGATTTAAGACACAGGGCGGTTAAGTCCTTGGTGAGTGTCACCAGCGTGGCCTGGCGACAGCAGAGCAGAGCTGGCTGACCCGAATCACGCTGGGTGCTTGCCGCCCGCACCCTCCCCACTCCCAGAAACGCTGGAGGAAGATGAGCTTGGGTTTAAAGCTGACTAACGGGTCATGTCGAGAAATGCCCTGGTTTTTAGATATGTGGTCAAAGCATACATAGGGGAAACAATCAATATCATATATGTCTGTCAACAGCCAGACGGTATAGCCTAAAAAGCAGCAACTGCAACAAATCGGTACATGTGTTGCGCTGCAGTTCCCCGGGGGAAACATTGTAGCCAAGCTCACTGAGCCTGGAGTCTGCGGACTCAGCCCGGGTCTCACTGGGACTGTGTCCCTCACTGTCTCATCCGTCNATCATATATGTCTATCAACAGCCAGACGGTACAGCCTAAAAAGCAGCAACTGCAACAAATCGGTACATGTGTTGCACTGCAGTTCTCCGGGGGAAACATTGTAGCCAAGCTCACTGAGCCTGGAGTCTGCAGACTCAGCCCGGGTCTCACTGGGACTGTGTCCCTCACTGTCTCATCCGTCCCAGGCCTGACTGTCACGTGCACACAGGTGGTTTGAGGGACTTTAGCCCCGGATCCTCCTCAGACCTGAGGCTTGTAGGTCTCACTTCCTCTCCTCTGTGCTTCAGAGTCAGCGTTTCAAGAGCAGAAGCATCATTTGGGGGAGAAATGTTTACATTATAACACATTGAATTCCTAGGTAGCGTATAAGAATTAACTGTTTTAAAAGTAATTTAAAATACCAAACCATGCCTCTGTGATGAAGTTAAACAATGGAAGCATCTTAAAATTGTACCGTTTTAATAAAAGGTGTAATTAAAAGACTCATCCACTAGAGGGGAGCATTTAGAAGTAATATCTGTGGGGACAGAAAGCACCCAAGGGTCCAGGGCCTTTCCCTTCAAGGCCGTTTTAAAGATTTAAACATGTATTCCGGAGAAGTTATTTTACACAAGTTTTGCTTCTACATTGTGGTCCCATTATCGTCATATTGACATTAATTCAAGTTTTGTGACTTACACAGGCCTTTTCTGATATCGAAGGGATCCGTATTTTTCAAATCCCGGCGGTGTGATAGAATTATCAGTTGCAATACTTAGGGCA